CACTTGCCCTGTCACAGTTTATCTTTTAATTATAGTGATTAAATTTAAAAGATTATTTTTGGAAGTTCGATCCCTGGCACCACATGCGTGTTGGCCCCACCCCTGGGGCACACTGAGAGGGCACCTGAGACTGGGCATGGTGGCTCATGCCTGTAGTCGCAGCAGTTGGGAGGCTGAAAACAGGAGGATCACTATGAATCTGTTCTATATAGTGAGACCTGTAGATCCTGTACTAATGATACATTTAAAAAAAATCATTTGTTCTTCACTGTACATTGGTTTGAATCTAAAATCTGATTTTTCAATTCTCTTAAAAATAATTTTCAGGTTCTTTCTAAAGAAAAAAACCAAAGATTTAGAATGAGTACTCGAGTGAAGCCCTATAGCTCAGGGGTTAGAGCACTGGTCTTGTAGAATGAGTACTCGAGTTATCAGAGGGAACATTTCCAGAAGAGTTAAAAAAAAATCTGAACATACAATTGTACAATAAATCAAAGGAAAGTGAAGAAATTCCACAAGGGAGTAGAGAACAGAAAGACAGGGAGGGATTCTAGATTTGTTAAGATAACCCAAATTAATAAACTGGGATTGTTTGACAGACTTGTAATTCAAAAGCAATTGATCCTTAATTGTTGATACAGAAGAGGCAGAACCAGTGCTTAGTGACTGAACAAAAAAAATTATAACTTATAGGTCATAGAAAATCATTTCAAAAGAGCAAGTGGAATAAGATTCCATTCCTCTTAATGTTAAGGAGAAGCTTCACCTTGTTTTGAGAATTTCTGTTGGGAATCATAAGAGAGAATGAAAAATCACTTAGCGATTTCTGCAATAAGGTGGAATTTAACTGAGATCACATGTTTAATATCAATGAATTGGCAAGAATTGGGAAGATAGCTAGTACTGTATTTTACTCTATCTTAATTTTTCCCTCATATTAATAGGACTTGTGGGTTACAAGAGAGTTTAATGTAACTATAAAAATATATAGTTAATTGTTCTTATGTCTAAACAATATTGTGTATTGTAATTATTAACCTCTGTTTAATTATCCATGCAAATTAAGAAATATATGCAGAAACTCTTTTTATACCACATTTAAATTTGTTCTTGGTAATTTTTGCAATTTTAGTTTTCATTCCTTAAATGGAGAAAAGGTAATGATTTTTTTTGTTTTTTTTTAAAAGTGTTAAATGATGGTCAAAGTTATATAACATGGCAGCCTACACACCTTTTGTAATTCTAATTCTTTTAACTCTTCATGGACACTTGTTAAAACTCATTTGTTTGATGATGTTTTCATGTTCAAATATTTGTTATAATAAAAAAGATACATTTTAATACAATATTTATCATAAGTTGCATAGTTATTTTAAAAGCTGTAAGGATCCATTTAAATCTTTTGATTATTTCAATTATTTAACAAAATAAATCAACATTAGCTTACCATTTATGTTTATCTTGACTTAGAAGTGAAGCAGTCAACAAGTACTAACATAGTGGTTGGTTCAACTTCAGAGACAGTGATTAGCTCATAAGCAAATACAGGCAAGTAATGCTATACTTGGGTTTTTTGCTCTCTTTCCTTGACTGGTCTTCCTTTTTCTTTCCTTTATTTTCTCTGGTTCTTTCAAGTCATCTTCAATCTGTATTTACTTCAAGTTACATGATTACACTTGTTCTTACAAGTCTTGCAGTTCTTTACTAAATTATGAATGCAGCTTGAAAGGGTTCAAATGTGTAGATAGAACATGTCTCTTCTTGAATTTTGAAAGTTTTCACTGAAGAGTTTTAAAATGATTTCTTTCTATACATTCTATATCTTCTCCATCTTTATTTGAATGTTCCTTTTTAAGTATTTCTAGAGATGTTTAATAATCCATGTCTTCTAATTTAGAATGTGTACTTTCCAAGTCTTCAAATGAATTCTCCTTCAATGTGTCTTAAAAATCTTCACTGTATTGCTGTTATGGTTCTCTATTGTATTCTTCCTTCACTCCTATTTAAAATGTGTCTTGACTAATTTTCGAAGCTTCTTTTTCATGCTAAATTCAGTGTCAGACTGCTAACTTTGCTTCATTCCTAAGCTCTTCCCAGAGTCTGACAGGTGGAATTATTTGCCCTTCTTGGCACCTTTCTTGGCATCCTTTTTCCCTTCAGCAGATTCTGGGGCATCCTTCTTGGCATCTTTCTTTGCATCCTTCTTTGCATCCTTCTTGTCATCTTTCTTGGCATCTTTCTTGTCATCTTTCTTGGCATCTTTCTTGTCATCTTTCTTGGAGTCTTTCTTGTCATCTTTCTTGGCATCTTCCTTTGATTCACTTTCTGAAGCACCAGGCTTCTTTTCATCTTTTTTGTCTTTCTTTCCCTCCTTCTTTTTTGCATCTTTCTTGGAGTCTTTGGATTCATCGTCTTTCTTGGCTTCCCCTTCAGGTCCTGAATCTGCAGTTTCTCCTTTGCCCTTTGAATCTTTTTTACCTTTTTTGTCATCTTTCTTTGCCCCAGCCTTCTCACCTTCAGATTCTGTTCCTGAATCTTTGCCCTCCTTTGAACCCTTTTTACCTTTCTTGGTATCTTTCTTTGCCACAGCTTTATCACCTTCGGATTCTGTTCCTGAATCTTTGCCCTCCTTTGAGCCCTTTTTACCTTTTTTGTCATCTTTCTTTGCCCCAGCCTTCTCACCTTCAGATTCTGTTCCTGAATCTTTGCCCTCCTTTGAGCCCTTTTTACCTTTCTTGGCCTCTGTCTTTGCCCCAGCTTTATCACCTTCGGATTCTGTTCC